AAGGTCACGATACTCATGTAACAATCCCGGGCCGTGCTCACCCCTGATATAACACTGTGCCAAGGTCACATTACCCCTAATCCAGGGCCGTGCTCACCCCTGACATGTTAATCAAGGTCACGATACCCATGTAACAATCTCAGGCCGTGCTCACCCCTGGTCATAGGTGTGAAGAACCACAATCACATCTCATTCACATTTCACACAACATCTCATAGTTCAATTCCATACACGCATCAGATAAATCCAAAATAATGGGTTTCATACATCTCAAGCAATTCACATCTAAGTCATGAATTTTATCAAGTAATATAGCAATAACATTCATAAGTTAATATGATAATCAAGGAAATTATCAATTTAATACAATCTTAACATAAATAGTAAAACCCCCAATTGTTCCAAAACCTAGCTCACAGGCACTTTTCTACAATTTCGTTCTCTCTCCCAGATCATCATTCTTACAAATTATTGGCATATTTATAATCCTCATCACATATAGAATCTAATGGGATCATCAATTCCTCAAACAGAAATCATCCAATTCTTCACAACCTAACCTACAGGCACTTTTCTATAATTTCGTTCTCTCTCCTAGAGCATCATTTTTACCAATTAATCATATATCCATATTCCTAAATATATACAGAATCAAATAAGACCAATAATTTTTCAAACAGAAATAATTATAAAATTACTCATAATCCTAAGGAATTCTTCCTCTACCCAATTCCCTCATGTAACTCTACATATAAATAATTCCTTTTTCCCCCGTACCTAGATAAACAACAATTGAAACTACAACAGGGATATCTCTTGGTCTCCTCCTCTAAGTGCCCCATGGTTTTCAGAGAGAAGAAGAGGGGAAGAAGAAAGAACAGAAGAGAATAGGAAGAGAGAATGAGAGATGTGTGAAAATGAGAGGTAAGGCCTCCTATTTATAGGAATCTGCCTCAGCTAACCCAGAACGGCCCGTTCCAAAAGTGGAACGGCCGTTCTGGACCCTCCAGAACCAAGCAAAAATCTCAACTGGAACGACCTGTTCCAAAACCGGAACGGCCCGTTCTCAATCCCAGCAGAACGACCCGTTCTACTTTCAGAACAGCCCGTTCTCCAAACCAGAACGGACCGTTCTCCAACCGGAACGACCCGTTCTCAACTACGTTTTTTTGGAAATTTCTTTATTCTGGAACGGCCCGTTTCACTTTTGAAACGGCCCGTTCCAGGCAATGAATTGGGCCCACGACCTAGTGAAAATTTGGGCTGTTACAAATGTTGTTTTTCCCACTAATTTTATTTATCTGTTTTCAATTTAGATAACACTTGTAAGTTGATTTTTTTTAAGATGAAGATTGAAGCTATGATTCATATCATAACAACACATTTATATTAAAGCATTATTTAATGTGATCTCTTGACATTTAACAATTTTAACTTAAAATTTTTATTTTGTGTTACTATATATCACTTTTGTAATAATGCATGTTGAACAAGGCTCAAAGACTACAAATACTTTTGATGATTTTAAAAGAGCTTCATGATTTAAGTTCAACATGTATTGAGTTATGTGTCATATGCATCTTTAAATTGTTTAAATTCTAAAATTGAGATGATCCGATTAAAATCAATCTCATGTGAAGTTTAAAATGATTAAACACAACCGTGTATTTAAAGAGCATTTTGAAAATAATATGAATTTAAGAACAGTTCAAAGTCAATGAAAATTATTATTACTACTTATAATAGTATATTGTTTTCCTTTAATTTTAAATTGAATAAAGTGAAACTTTAAAAAATAATCCATTATAAGGTGCAATAATCGATTAATAAACAATATAATTAATTATAATTGTTCATCTTGAATTTTAAGATTCTTTAGAACAAAATAAAGGATTATTAGTTAATAATAATGGATTATTGTAGATGAATCTCTTTTTGTAATATTTTTTTTTCTAACAGAATAGAGAGTGACTCATTTTTTGATTTCTAAGATTTTTTTTAAAATAAACATGTGAAGACATCACAATAGAGAAGGAAAATTCAACTATGTTGTCATCTTAAACTCTATCAATCATCTGTAGTATGCCAAAATATAATAAATAACCAAAAAGTATAAAAATTGGGGGACAAGAATGAAAATCCAAACAAAAATAAAGTTAACAAAAACGAAAAAATTAGCAAATCCAAGTTGTTACAATAAAAGTCATGTTGGCAAAAATCAGGGATGGAATCCCACCACATGTGGTCATGAAAAGCTACCAAAATTGAAGAAATATCATTCTTAAAATATTTTGCACACTAGATTGTAGATTGTCATGGATTGATCAATTAAGACATCATCTTTAAGAATATGAAGCAAACCAAAAAAAGAGAATATTCAAATTGTGAATTTATCACACTTTAGACTATATCTTTCTTTTAATTATCATTTATTTATTTAATTTTAAGGTTTGTAATCTTTGAGCCGATATCTCAAAAAGGTTTACTACAGAAGGTTTCTACAAGAAGTAGTAATTTTTTTAAGTTATTTAAGAAACTTTTGTTTTTAAGTATTTTGCAATATATGTAAATGTCAAGCCTGTTTTTGCATAGTAAAATTTTAATTAGATTGATTGGAAAATTAGACGAAGATCAAAGTGATAGTAATAGGAATAATATAAAAATATTGCATCAAAGTTTTTTTTAAATTTTTTTTATTGTGCTTGGAAGTATTAAAATTTTGAATTGTCTATTCTTATTGATTATTGATTTTGTTTTAATTGTATGTGATTAAATTAGAAATTCATATTCCTATATATGTTGTTCTCAACATCATCATCCTAATATCATTAATTCAAACAAAATTTAAAAAACGTTTTTGTGAAAGATTTTAAGAGAGAAATTGTGTATAACAAGACCTAAATTATTTGTAATCTAATCCACTTACACGATCCTTTATTTCAACAATGTAAATATCTACCTTAAATGCTTATATAGAACCTAGCCTCATCGACCAATTGAAGAACAATTTATTCACATTTCATTTTTGGATATTTATGTTATTAATCATTTAAAGTTGACTAAATTTGACCAAAAACAAGACATGAAAAACATCTAAACAATGCAAGTAATAAATTGTGACAACAAAAGTTGGTACTTAGCAAACAAAATAATTAGATTCAATGGTTATATTGAATCATGATAACAATAGTCACCACCAACTTAATTTTACAAAATCTTGGGTTCTTGCTTCTCAACATCAAAACAAATATTTTGTGAGTTGTAAAATTAAGGTTTAAATACGTTTACTTTTATAATATATTATTTTTTATTTTTTAATTTTATAAAATTATTTTTATTTTATTTTAGTTTTTATAATATATATATATATAAATCACTATAATGTTTTCTTCATTTTGAGTTAATTCACCTTGAAATTAAAAGATAATAGGGACTAAAAGTAACTTAGTCATACATTACAAAAACAAAAAGAAAAATTGCATATATTACAAGGAATAAAAAAATATCAAGGACCAAAATACAAAAGAATTTTTTAAGGACCATTTAAGATAAAAATTTATAAGGACCAAAACTTAGAAAATGGTATATTATTGAGATCAAAAGTATATTTAAATAAAAAAATAATTTGGTTTAAATATACTTTTGGTCAATGTAATGTACAGTTTTTTTTTTAAAATTATTTTGATCCTTGTAAAATTTATATGTATTTATTTTTTATTTGGTCATGATTATTTTTTTTTTTTGAGAGGAATGATTATTTTATTTTAGTTCTTATAATATGTCAATATATTATTTTAGTTTCTATAATATTTTATATATTTTGAGTTAGTCCCTAAAAAATTATATGAATTTAAAGCAAATTATTTCACATATTATATGTACATAAATTAAAAATATATTACAAAGACTAAAGTAAAAATAATATAAACACCAAAACTAAACAAAACAAATTATTTTAGAGATTACAAATACATTTAATTAAGATTTTATTTCAAAATTCTATCTTATTGAATTACGTTTATAAGGTTCTTTTGGAGATTGGATGCATTAGTGGTAAAAAAAAAACTTATTAGAATATGAAGATGGTAGCTATATAAATTGTTACATTTGAAAATAATATTTCATTATACTTATGCATTTTGAATTCAAAGCTTTATATGCTTTTTATTTTTCGTCCAAATAAATTTATTACTTAGAGTGCAAGAGATACTTTACTATGTACTTAGACATTAATATAGTCATAACTAAGAGTCAAACAAATAAGGAAGTATAAGCATGAGGCTTGACACAACATTTAACCTACATAGTCAAACAAATAAGGAAGTATAAGCACAGGACTTGATACAACATTTAACCTACAGTAAATATTATATTTGTTAATCGTGAAATTTTAACTTTATTAAGTGATTTGTCACAATTTAAATGATAAGATATTTAGTAACATGATATATAGAGATAAAAATTTAAAAATAACATACAAAAAATCTTTGTTTATATTTTAATGAGTGATTAGTTTTTATTTTAGTAATAAATTTAATTTACATGATTTTCTTTTTAATTTTTTTTATATCCAAATGTCATTAATAAATGTCAAAATAAATATTAAAATTTAATGATTAATAAATATTAATTTGATGAGATAACCACAATTTCATATTTCTAAAATTAGAGGGCTAAATATCTCTATTTTAAAATAAATGTACCAAAATTGGGGATTAACAAAGATAGAAGGATCAAAAGTACAATTTAGACTAAAATTTATGTGGAATATATTTTATTTGATATTTTGTAAAACTAGTATTCTTAATTAAGAACAATATTGATTGATTTACAAATTTTATATTAAAAATCATTTGAATGTTTTTGGCATACTATCATGCCTCCAATTTTCTTAAAAAAGTATAAAAATAAATAACAACATTGTAGATTTGTGGATTGATCTGCTTCAATACAATGCCATCTAATTAAGGGAGATAAATGAGATAAAAATTGTCTTTTATTATATAATTTGTTACAACATAATTGATAAAACATTTAAAAGTTGAAATGTATATTTTCATTCAACCATGAACTATTACATTTTTATATTATTGTTCATAACATACAATTACTTTTATTTTTATCTAATTTAAAGTTTTAACAAACTTAGGCATCATGGATATTCTAGTCTTTTTCTTAGGAATCTTTGTTAGAAGTATTCTCTGGCTCCTTGTCATCAACCTTTGAATCTTTCTCTTTTAAAACAACCTCCTTCTCCTTAGATGCAACAGTACTGTATAAATCAAAAAACAAATTGTAAAACATATGTTAAAAAATAATATAAATAATAATAATTTAAATGAATATGTATGACATAATAACACAATACCTTGAGTTGCTTTTCTCTAATGAACTCATAAAGATATCCTGTATAGGTCCACATACAACCATGTATAGAGAATGTTAAGGTTGAGTAGCAAGTAATTGATATTTAACAATTAAATTTAATTCAACAAGAAATTACATATAAAAGAGATAACAATCTTATAATTAAAAATAAAAAGAAGTCTTACAGCTCCATCGAGGCTTGATATTTGTGTGCTCATGCCTCCTAGTTGGGTACTATGTTGTGGGATGTTGGAAGAAGATGCAATACCCATTTGTGAGATTGGGTTTTCTTGGCTCGCTTGATCTCGATAATATTCAAGTGATTTGTTTACAAGTTCTAGTGCCTCATCAAAAAATTGAATTTCAGACAATAGATTTGTTACATGACCAAAGGCACCACGGATTGGGTCATTTTCCCAAATGTTTGCCTCCCTTAAAATGGAATATGCAACAACTTGTCTTTGAGATGGTTCGGCACAACGCACTAATCTAAGCAAGTTAGACAAACCAAAAAGCCTACAAGCACTCTCAAAGTCTTCTGACCTATTATTAGGAAAGTATTGTCCATACTCACAGTTATCATCATGTCTCTTACGTTGATGCCTACATAGAGGACATGCATTAACATTCCTATTTTCTTCATTCATTATTTCTACAAAGAGATGCAAATGCTTATGTTGATAAATATGAATATGTTTTTTTCAAAGATATATGAGTGATTATGCTTGTGAATATAAAACCTTAAACTTAATGAATATATATACAAAAACAAAGAAAATATATATGGTAGATATTGGAGTGTATTGAATTAGGATTTCAATGAATTTAAAATACATTTTTATTTTCAAAAAGTTTTGTAGTAATAAATCAAGACTTGTGTTTTAACTTAACTTTTTTTTTTATGATATTCAATTAAAACAAGCAATTTTTTTAAGAGTATGTCAAAATTTGATAGTATTCAATTACGATAATCACGATTTTTTAAGAATTCGTTAACATCTGGCGGTATTTAACGATTTTTTCACTAAAGAAAGTCTAATTGTATTAGAAAACATAAATATTTCAATGAATTATTTTAAATAATTAATTTATGAGAATTTTTTTTTGTTGAATTTACATATAATTCACTCATCCAACAATCTTATCAAAATCTTTGAGATTTTGCATGACTTATTTTCTTTCTATTTCTCCTATCTCTTTCCTTATTTTTTCTCTCTCCTAAATCTTCTCTTTCACCTTTCTCGCTTCTCTCTCTCTCTCTCATATTTGCTTTTCTTCCACCTTTCTTACTTTTCTTTCTTTCTCTCTTCTTCTCTCTTGGCATCTTTCTTTTCTCATTTCTCACTCCCACACACACTCTCTCTCTATCAAGTTTCTAAACATATAATAAAAAATAAGGTTTAATAGTGTTTTTGATCCCTCAAGTATTGTAATTGTGCAATTTTGATCTTCAATGTTTTAATTGAGTAATTTCAGTTCTTAAAAGATTGTAATTGTGTGATTTTAGTCCCTTAATTTTTAATTGAACAGTTTTAGTCCCTCAACTATTATAATTGTGCGATTTTAGTCTTTTCCATTAAAAATTTAGTAATTTTAGAATATATATATATATATATATATATATATATAATGTTTTAAAATTATACAACTGCTTACTTATTTAAGTTAACATATATTATAATTTTTGTTAATATATCAAATGAT